CTCTTGGGGGGGGGGGGTCCCTTTTAAAAAAACCGAACACCGAACACCGATCTCTCCTCCCCAACACCAGGACGCGGGTCCTTCCCTTCGGCCCACCCGCAGCAGCACCCCCCACAACACCCTCGCCCCAATCGGGGCGCAGCGTTAAGAACAAAAGGGCGTCTTCTGGCTGCCTTCGACAAAGAGCCGCCTGCCCGCTCTGGCACCGTCCCCAACATCGGGGGTGGGCAGGAGCGCACAGCGGCCCCGAATTGCCAACGGCTAAGTGGGTCTGAGGTTGCAGAGCCAGGCCTCTCCCCACCCTCCTGTTAGCGCTCTAAAGCGCACCAGGGCGTCGGGGGGGGGGGCAGCTGGCAAACGAACAGGTTTAGGAAGGTCGTTTTTAGGTGCGGAGCCACCTTGGGTCCGCAGTGGAAGAGCAGACTTCGAGGCCCAGGGGGCACCTTAGGAAGTGTGAGATTTCTAGTTCACTTGGTCAGACGGGGGTCACGACATCGGTTTTAGGGGGAACGCAGCTGCTTCCAAAGCGCATCTAGGCCGCGAAAGGTTAGGACCCACACACCCGTCGCTCCTTGGTGGTGGAAACGGCCCTCGAGTCGCCCCCGACTAAAAGCGATGAATGGGTTTTTCCACCCTAAGCCAAGAGACGTCCAGAGGGGGATTTGCCACCGCCTGCCTCTGCCCAGCGACCCCGGACTTCCTCGGTGGTCTCCCATCCAAGTACTAACTGTGGCCGACCCTGCTTAGTTTCCGAGATCGGGCTGGCTTGGGCCCTCCGGGTCAGGGCTCGTTGCTTTTTCAGATTTCACACAAAGAGGAGCCTGGCAGCGCTAGGAAGGTTTTAGCCCGGGATAAACTCGAGGGCCAGAGCTAGTCCGCCGCCTTCCCGGTGGGACGCATCTGATAAAACGGGCTCTGACTGCAGCCCAGGACACTTGAAAGGAACCACTGGGCCCTTTTAGGTGTCCCGAGATCCCGGCTTCTTTCCTGCACGGAATGGAAACGTGCTGCACGTGTGTAACAGACTGACCCACTGGAAGGGGAACCCCCGGGAGCAATGCTCCCTCTAAGCTGTGGAGTCTTGTGAGCAAAAATTCTACTTTGTGAGCTACCGGCATTAAAGTTGTGGGCGAGCGATTTGGCTGCTGCATAACCTAGTTTGCTCCGGAGCCCTCCTTCCTGAGCGAAGACAAAAATGTGTGAGCCGGAGGCTAAAAAACTGTGAGCTAGCTCACACTAATTCAGCTTAGAGGGAACACTGCCCGGGAGCTGAAACGTCCCCGGAAGAGAGAGGTCCCCCGCCAGCTAGCGAGGCTGAGCGCCTCCGAGCCCGGGACCCGCACTGCACTGCCCAAAGGCTGCGGTGGGAAAAGCGTTGCAAAACCAGGCCCGACGGAGCGGCCGGGAAAGGGGGCGAAGAAGAAGGGACGCCACCGGGAGAGGCCGGCCTGACTTCCCGGGGCTGGTCGGCTACCCGGCCCTGTTGCAAGAGGGGGAGTTCCAGACGTCTCCCCGCGTTAGCCGGGCCAGGCCGCGCGGAAAGGCTTCGCGCGTGGGCTGCCCCGCGAGGTGAGCCTGCCTGCACCTGGAGGCCTCCTTCCTCCCTTCCCTCGCGGGTGGGGGGGCGCCTCTACGCTTGGCGGCCCGGGGCGGGGGGGG